AATGTGCACCTAAAACTAAATTGATAAATTATACCTAGATCCCCTCATACTTGTCACTTAATCATTTGGACCCCTTTATAAAATAAAGGGTAATATGAAATTATAATTTTTTATTAAGATAAAATCATATTTTTCAACAGCTATAAAATCCTAATAAAAATACTCTCAATCTAAAATGTCCCCCCAATTGGGTATTCAAATAATTATGTTTAAGTGATATATTGCATTGCATATAAAAAAATATTATATAAATATTTACATTCTTGATTTTGAACTTTAGAAGTATATCAGACCTACAAAATATAGGGTAATATGAAATTATAATTTTTTATTAAGATAAAATCATATTTTTTAACGGTTATATTAACAGATATTAACGAAAAAGGGTTACGTATTACACGTGCAGAAACGTCATGAGACGTAAGAGTAATATTTATCAATTTAATTTTAGACAGCAAACTGACGGCGGTTAGTTTTAAGTGTATATTGATACAAATTTTTATCTTTGAAGGTATAAATTAAAATTTTTAATTTTTAGAGGTATAAATAAAAATTCAAATAATCTTTTGCAGTACAATTTACAATTAACCCAATAAAAAAATCGTAGCTTCGCCCACTTGACACTTCCCCCGTTTTACCAAAACCAAAATACCAATATCTGATACAAAACCAAAAACCGGGTCCGAGTCGGGACCCACTTTGGCCCTTTCCTATAAATGCACATTTTCAGGGTTTGTTGACTCTCATTACTGTGACTAACCTCTAAAAGGTCGTACCAATCCAACAATGGCCATGAGATCTGTCGTTTCTCGCATCTCTTTCCGTCGTTTTATGGAAACCTCTCGAAAATCAACTTCTGCAGGTCTTCGTTACTTCAGCGATGGCAAAGGTCGAATCCTTAGCGAAGAAGAACGTGCTAAGGAGACCGTTTACATTCATGTTCTCCCTCTTTCTCTCTCCTCTGATGCATTTATGATGTTTTCTAATAGTTATCAAATATATTGTGTTACTTATGATTATACTATGGACGGCTACGATGGAAAAAATACCCATCTGACAATCTTCCCATCCCATTCAATTCTGAAACCATGATGATTGCCCATTTGTAATGAGTTTAAGTAATGCTTTTATAAATTTCATGAGTAGTTTCAGAAACAATAGTGAGAGTTGATATAATTTTGGAGGAAACTACCCAATAAAACCATTTTCTGTAATTAAATAGTTTAGAATTACTGAACACCATGGAGACCTTCTCCTCTCTAATTTGATTGTTGTGTATTGATGGATATGTATACTGATGGTTTTTTTTTTTTGCGAAGAAATTGGGGAGGGAGAGGATTCTTTTCTTAATGGAGTTTCTATTTTTGTTTTTTTTTTTTTAATTTGTGTATTTTTTTTAATGGGTTTTGTGTTTTTGGGTGTGAAGAAAATGGAGAAGGAGAGGTTGGAGAAGCAGAAGCTGAAGGAGGAGAAAGAGAGAGCAGAGAAAGAGAAAGCAGAGAAAGAGAAATCGGACAAGGTATGGACTGTAGCGGGTTTTATTCATTGTTTATTTATTTGGCTTTTGATATCTGAATCTACATGCTGCGTCTGACTGCTGAGGAATAGTTGAATAATGATACTGGTGTTTTCCTTATTTGATTTTTCTCTACTTCCTTGCAATATGTTGATGATCAAACGCTTCAATGCTTTATGATAGTGGAATGAGGATTTGGGTGGCGCTCTTACAAGACAATGTGTCCCTGATGTAGTCTGTGTTGATGGAAATAGAAAATAACTGTTTATCCTTTTTTTTTATTAGTGAGATTGGATATATAGAATCTATCTAGCAGATCTTTCAGGAGATAATTTGCTCTTTGTATTCATTACTGCAGCTTTGTTAGCATGTTTTTTCATGGAAGCTTGTTTTTTCCATTGTTGTTGTGTGATTTGTGTGCATTGGGCCCTGTCTTAGATTTGTTTTGGAGGGTTGGGCAGAGTGGATTTGTTTTTCTGGAGTTGTTTTTTATTGTTCTTTTTTTTATTTGTGGGAAAACGTAAAAGTTTAAATTGCATTTGAGAACTAATGAATGAAAATTGTTCTATGCTATGTTGAGTTCATTTATTCACTTGATTGAGCAAACTTGGTTGGTCAATGGATTTTTTGTTAAGGTTGCATTTCTGTGGATGACTGTATAAAGAAATCATTCTCCACCCAGGTCTTGTCCTGTCCTTATGTTGCCACAAGTTGAAATAATATACGACTAACACATGAAGAAGGTGTAAATTGTTCTATGACATTTACATCAATTCAAAATTTCCATATTTGATGGTTGAACTTAAAGCAAGGGATTAAATGGTAAAAATTTAAGGCTTTTCTAGTTGTCGGTGAACTAAAATGTTAATCTGAGACAGAAGGCACAAGCTTATATCCATTTTAAATGTTTAAAGGATGACAACACTAAATGTGAGATGAGAGATTGAGGAGACCAATGGTTTTGGGGCTAATAGAGTTAATTATTGGAGCTCGAAGCTATCCATGGAGCCATAAGATGCATGTTCCATGTTTTGTATTAGGTCAGAGACTTAGAATTACAAAAATCCATAATTGGACTCTTGGAGCTTATATATTCTAGTGGCAAAGGTCCCGTCTCATGTATTTTTTCTTGTATTTCTCCCTTTTCTCACCAAGTCCCTCCCGTTGTTCTTTACCTTTGGTTTGAGCTGCTATAAAGAAGAGAAAGGATTTGAAAACTTGGAAGACGAGAAGAAGATGAAAGTGGAGTATCATGGAAGAAGGAGCTATTGTGCATCCATAGATGGAGTAGTTTAAGTCAATGTGGGACTAGGAAACCATTTGCAACAGGCTACATGGAAAACCTGTAAAGTTATATGGTCTAACTGATTGAGAGGATTACTTTCAGAAATAAGGAAAAAGGAAAAGAGAGAGGAGAAAAGAGGAAAGGATGGAATCAATTAACCAGCTACTTAGTTGAATATTATTAGTAAGGATTGCTTGTGCAAATCTAAAGTGAAGTTAAGAGGGAACTTTCTTTTATAAAGTCTGGCAAAGATCAAGTCACTAATAATTTCGATTGCTGTAAGAATCTATTCTGCTTATTCCCTATCAAAAGAAAAAAAAAAGAATCTATTCTACTACTGATTTGCATGGGAGGTTATTTCGTTATTGCAAAACCTTGCACCTGAGGTATATGGATGATACCACAGGGGCTTGAGTGGGTGTTTCTACAGAGTTTTAGATTTACTTTTTAGTGTTTTCTCTTTGCTTATGGCACATAGTCTCCTTTTTGTTTTTGACTTACAATATTATTTTCATTGCCCAAGGGAAGATACTATCCCAGTATATGGTTACCTTCAGCAAAAGTAACTATGGTGTGTCACCCCATGCAAGTGTTTGCATTTGCATTCATGGTTCTCATTTGCAACTGTGCTTATGTTTATATTCTTGATTGATCTGTATTCTTTTTCTTCATCAGAAAGCTGAATAAGCGACTCACAAGGGCTGAGGTGGTGTATCTATGCTGATTGGAGCAACTCTGGTTTCTGAAGTAGCCATGAGAATAAATGTAAATGACTTTGCATAACTCTTGATGAGACTCTTCGTTGTATAGATTGTGATGACATTTCTAATATCTTTAGACTTCCAACTGCAATGACCTGTGTTCTGATGTTCTCTTTGGCATTTTTTATGGCTTCTGTGTCATTTTTTTTCCTTTGAAGTTATCTTGGTCAGTAGTTTGTTTTATCTTTGTATTTGCCTAGTGTCATTGTTATTTGTTGTTGCTTGCAATGTGTTCATTGCCTACTTAGACTATTACACATGAGTGTCCCGTATTAGATGAGGTTGTTAGCTCTGTGGCAGACAAGCCTCATTAAAAGTCAAGGACACAGCCCCTAACACACACATAATCCAGAGCTTCCCCAGTAAGTACCCGGCCTGATGCTAATAGTAATGGTTTTGAACCTAGGGAATTTTTTATGTAAACATTGTTTTCACTGGATCCGCTGGAGCTGCTTACTACTCTGTTTTGCACTTCCAACATAATTATGCCTTGCAGTTACTCCCAAGTAGATTAGATCTGGTATGATGCATACTTTGAAAGAGTTTCCGCAGGCTGCTTGTACACTGATGCTCTATACCAATGAAATTTTGTTTAGGTACCAAAAATACAGACTATAATTATATATTGTCCAAGGTTTGAAAACATATTCAGCCCACAAAAACATTTTCTAATTTCCTAATTTTCAATTCGACAAACTCTCATCTGAGTGTTTTTGACACTTGAACATGAATGTGTTTTGACACTGTCAGTTGCATGTATTTGTTTTGGCACTGTAAATTGCCTTTAGATCCAGGAATCATTCTCTCCAAATGGCGGTATAATTATTTACCTTTGATCTGTCTCATCCTGCTATGGATGGGAGTCTTGGTATGGTGAGTTTTAGTTACTTTAGGTCTCGAACGACTTTCCACCTTTGGAAGAGTGCTTTTTATGCAGTCTAGAGCAATCATCTGGCTCTGTGAAGTGGTCTGAGATGTGAAGTCTTTGTGTAATGCTCAAATTGAGTGAAATGTTTGTGTTTAACCCGATGGCTTGTTAACTGTTAGTGGAACTGTTCCCCGAAGAATTATCTGGCGCGAGTCTTCTTCCTTGGTAATGATAGTGCTGGCACCATGTTAGTTCCACAAAGTCAGGGTGCAGCACGGGTGGGTCAGACCCACCCAAAATATTTGGTATTTCAACCCGATTTAAATTCAGGCAGTGTTCGAACTGGATTCTCTGGTTTTTGGGACCTAATTCAAACCAATGTAGCTTTGAGCCTGAAATAAAGCATGGTTTGGTTCTAAAGCATACTTCAAGGGGAAGTTCACTATAAAATGATAAAGATCACGAAGGTTTATCAGAGATGAAATTAAGAAAACAACTATGACTGCCACCAATTTGAAATTTACACATTATCCAAAACCCTTCATTTCCCAATTGGATCAGATTTTCAGAAGAACCATTGTTTTCTTATTGGATCAAAATTTCAAATGAACTTCAGTTTCCTAATACAATGTCTTCCAGACAGTGCGAATCAGAAAAGAATACTAGACATCCACTACATGATTCTTCATACTTTTGTACGTCTGGCTTGGCCTGCAACTGCAAAAATGCAGTTGAAAATGAACAGAAGATTCACGAGTGTCGTAACTTCCACCCAGTCATTTGAGAAGCAAGTATATCCCACTAAATGGNGAAATGTTTAAAGGATGACAACACTAAATGTGAGATGAGAGATTGAGGAGACCAATGGTTTTGGGGCTAATAGAGTTAATTATTGGAGCTCGAAGCTATCCATGGAGCCATAAGATGCATGTTCCATGTTTTGTATTAGGTCAGAGACTTAGAATTACAAAAATCCATAATTGGACTCTTGGAGCTTATATATTCTAGTGGCAAAGGTCCCGTCTCATGTATTTTTTCTTGTATTTCTCCCTTTTCTCACCAAGTCCCTCCCGTTGTTCTTTACCTTTGGTTTGAGCTGCTATAAAGAAGAGAAAGGATTTGAAAACTTGGAAGACGAGAAGAAGATGAAAGTGGGGTATCATGGAAGAAGGAGCTATTGTGCATCCATAGATGGAGTAGTTTAAGTCAATGTGGGACTAGGAAACCATTTGCAACAGGCTACATGGAAAACCTGTAAAGTTATATGGTCTAACTGATTGAGAGGATTACTTTCAGAAATAAGGAAAAAGGAAAAGAGAGAGGAGAAAAGAGGAAAGGATGGAATCAATTAACCAGCTACTTAGTTGAATATTATTAGTTAGGATTGCTTGTGCAAATCTAAAGTGAAGTTAGAGGGAACTTTCTTTTATAAAGTCTGGCAAAGATCAAGTCACTAATAANTTGAATATTATTAGTAAGGATTGCTTGTGCAAATCTAAAGTGAAGTTAAGAGGGAACTTTCTTTTATAAAGTCTGGCAAAGATCAAGTCACTAATAATTTCGATTGCTGTAAGAATCTATTCTGCTTATTCCCTATCAAAAGAAAAAAAAAAGAATCTATTCTACTACTGATTTGCATGGGAGGTTATTTCGTTATTGCAAAACCTTGCACCTGAGGTATATGGATGATACCACAGGGGCTTGAGTGGGTGTTTCTACAGAGTTTTAGATTTACTTTATAGTGTTTTCTCTTTGCTTATGGCACATAGTCTCCTTTTTGTTTTTGACTTGCAATATTATTTTCATTGCCCAAGGGAAGATACTATCCCAGTATGTGGTTACCTTCAGCAAAAGTAACTATANGCACCTGAGGTATATGGATGATACCACAGGGGCTTGAGTGGGTGTTTCTACAGAGTTTTAGATTTACTTTTTAGTGTTTTCTCTTTGCTTATGGCACATAGTCTCCTTTTTGTTTTTGACTTACAATATTATTTTCATTGCCCAAGGGA